GAACTTACTTTTTTCAATTCAAAAATCTGATGGTCTTCAAGTATGCAATTTAGTCTGAATAACTGTAGTCACCCTCGTACAGATTATACATCCAGAACATACTCATCTTACAGCTGAAAGCTTTTATCTTTTGACCACCTGTTCGTCACTCCCTTCCAATAGTCAGTGCTTGGTAAACACCCTTCCATTTATTATTTCTATCAGTTCAGTTTGTTTCGAGTTCCCATATACATGAAATGTTGTGATAATTATATTCCCACATATGGACAGTTTAACAGTGTGCTCCACGCCCATCCACACTGTTGTGAATGTCAGGACTTCCTCATTTTTTAAGGCCAAGTCATGCTCTGTTATATGATGAAATTACTCACACAATCACCATTTTTCGTTCAGAAATAAACGCACTGAGAATTTAAGTGACCTGCCTAGAGGTACCCAACGGAGTTAAAGCTAGGATTCCTTCTTATGCCAACAGATCTCTGCAAATCATCATACAATTAAATTCTAAACAATATATACAGGTTTATAAACAAATGATATGATACTACTTCTACAATGAGCAGCTACATGTGCAATTAAGAAAAGGAAATGCAGTCCTGTTCTTAAAATCCTATTTTGAAATATTTCTGCTTCTACCTTTTGGCTTATACTTAAGGAAATATTATCCTAAGGTAGGAACTTGTGAAGGGAGGACATGAGGCAGAACAGCATGAAATAAGCCCATATTGTTTTTTTTTTAATTTGTACATGGAGAGATTTAATTTTTTTAATTTATTTTAAAAATAAAAGGAGGAAAATATATTAACAAACAGACGTCCATTTACAAAACAGCATAAGAGCAATACAAGCAATACAGAGTTACAGACAAAGTGGTAGGAAATTCACAATGGTTGTTGTATTGCATATTGATATCTTCAAAGTGGTTTCTCAGGAAAACAAATAGAGACATGCAAGATTGATCAAATAAATAATCATTAACTGTTCCTTTCAGTAAAGTGATAGAAGTCAGTAGTACAATTATGTTAGCTGTCCTGTATATACATACATACATAATTTCCCCTTTCTTTTCGCTTTTCCCTCACCCCAGTTGCTCTTTACCCTTGAGAGTTTTCCTATCGTTTCACAATGTGTATCATACCTCCTAATTTTTATTCACTCTTTCAGGTTCTTACACTAGTGAGATAATACATTGCTTACACATGGAGGTCTGGTTTATTTCACTTATGAGTATGGGTCTCTAGTTGTGACCATTTACCTGTAAAAGCCTCAAGTTGGTCTTTCTCTATAGCTGAGTACTATTCCATTATATAAAAGTACCACAGTATTTTTATCCATTTCTCAGTGGATGGACATTTGGGTTGCTTCCACATTTTAGCAATTACAAAATGTGGTGCTTTAGTCTGAATAACTGTAGTCACCCTCGTACAGATTATACATCCAGAACATACTCATCTTACAATTGATGTTTGAATTGAAAAAAGTAAGTTCAACAAAAGTTAATCTTATATTTTGCTTAAACAAAGCCAAATGCCAACACATTTTAGCAATTACAAAATGTGGTGCACCATGTGAACATGGGTGCACATATATCACTGTTATATGACGTTTTCAGATCTTCTAGGAAAATACCGAGAAGAGGAATAGCTGGGTTGAAAGGGACCTTTAGACCTAGTTTGTTGAGAAACCCCCAAACTGATTTCCACAGTGGTTTCACCAGTCTGCATTCCAGCAGCAGTGGAGAAGGTTCCTATTTCTCCACAGCCTCGCCAGAATTTGTTGTTGGTTGATCTCATAATGACAGCCATTCTTACCGGGATGAGATGAAATCTCAATGTTGTTTTAATTTGCATTACTTGAATGACTAATGATGTTGAACATTTTCTCATGCATTTATTTGCCATTTGTATTTCTTTATCTGAGAACTGTGTGTTCATCTCAGATGCCCATTTTGGACTGGGTCTTTGAATTTGGGGGGGCTTATGTTTTTTAATTCTTTATATGTTCTAGATAGAACACCTTTGTCCAAGGGGCAGTCAGCTAAAAATTTTTTCCCAATTTATGGATTTTCTTTTTACTCTGCTGGTGATTTCTTTAGATGTGCAGAAACTTTTCAGTAGGATGAGATCCCAGCTGTTGATTCTTTCAAGTATTTCCTGTGCTGTTTGGTTTTTGTTCATGAACTCTCTGTCTACCAAGATTTTTACCTACTTTCTCTTCCAATAGATTTAGCATTTCTGTTTTAATATTAACACCTGTGATCCATTTTGACTTGAGTTTGGTGCATGGTGATAGACTTGGGTCTATTTTCAGCCTTTGACAGGTGGCAAGCCAATTTTTCCAGAACCATTTATTAAAGAGGCTATCTTTCTTCCAGGGAGTTTGTTTGGCCCTTTTGTCAAAGATTAGGTGGCTGAGTGTGTTTGTGGTTGTGTCTGTTTCCCATTGATCCTCTGGCCTGTTTTTTAGCCAGTACCAGGTTGATTTTATTACAGTAGCTTTATAGTATAATTTCAGGTCAGGGATTGTGATTCCACCTGACTTGTTTTTGTTGCCCAGGATTGCTTTTGCTATTCTGGGTCTCTTCTGGTTCCAGATGAATGTAAGGAATGTTTTCTCTAGCTCTGTGAGGTATGCTAATGGCATTTTAATGGGAATTGCATTGAATCTATACAACAATTTTGGTAGTATGGCCATTTTCACAATGTTGGTTCTTCCTATCCATGAGCAAGGAATGTTTTTCCATTTATTAAAATCCTCTTTGATCTCTTTTTTTTTAAAGTACTGTAGTTTTCATTGAAGAGATCTTCTTTTGTTAGATTGATTCCTAAATATTTCAATTTCTTGGATGCTATTGTGAAAGGTATGGTTTCCTTAATTTCTCTCTCAGTCTGTTTATTGTTTGTGTATAGGAATGCTATTGATTTTGGGGTGTTGACTTTGTATCCAGCTACACTGCTGAACTTGTCAATTAATTGAAGGAGTCTTCTTGTGGAGTTTGGGGGGGTCTTCCTTGTAGAGTATCATGTCATTTTCAAATAGTGATAATTTTACTTCTTCATTTCCTATCCTTATTCCTCTTATCTCTCTCTCTTATCTAATTGCTCTGGCTAATGTTTCCAGAACTATGTTGAATAAGAGTGGTGACGGTGGATATCCTTGTCTTATTCCTGATTTAAAGTAAAAGCTTTCAGTTTTTGTCCATTTAGTATGATGTTGGCTGTTGGTTTGTCATAGATGGCTTTGATCAGATTGAGGTAAAGACCATCTATTCCTATTTTCTGTAGGGTTTTTATCATGAATGCATGTTGGACTTTGTCAAAAGCTTTTTCTGCATCTATTGAGATGATCATGTGGTTTTTGTCTTGGATGAGCCCATATTGAACAATTAACAGAAAAAGCTACACAGAGAAGAGAAGGCTATGCCACTCTGTTCTGCATCTAGCACACAGAGTAAATATAAATACTAAGGCAAAATGCTGAGGATGACTCAAAGGTCATTTTTTACTTGGTTCCCATTTTGTTAATGTTCACTTAATAAAAGCATCTTGAGCAATTGTGGTCTTCCAAAAAAAGAGAGAGAGAAAAAAAAGTCTTGCTTTCCTGCTAAATTCATACAAAATGGAGCTCATGGACTTGCTTGGGTTCTTCTATGGAAGCCAATATGTTTCAGCAGTAATTTCAGGGCAGCATAATTTCTGTAGAAATTCCAAAAGAGGGAGAAATGAGTGGAGAGGCATCCGCCCCCTGCTGTGTGTCCTCACTTGGAGGTGATGAATGGCCTGTCTTGTATTTGGCTGCCCTCCTGCCACCTGCCTAGGATTTCTGGTTCAGCAGACCCAGGGGTCTGGATTAATGGAGTCTCAAGGAGTGAAATCGCTTGTTTCTTGAACATCCATTATCAAAAAGTCAACTAGCCACTGCCACCAAAGATTCCTTATCTTTCTGATAGATATGAGGGAGTGAACAAGACAATTCTTTATGGAACCTTAACATCTATAAAAATAGTTGCAAAGGGGCTGGGGATTTAGCTCAGGGGCATAGCGCCTGCCCGGCAAGCGCAAGGTCATGAGTTCGATTCCTGGTACCGGAAAAAACCCAAAAATAAAAAATAAAAAAATTTTTAAAAGTTGCAAAAAACAGAGAGAAAAGGTTGCTGCAGACATATAATAGTAGTTTCCATAGCTGTCTCTCCTTCTGACTTTTGCATGTCCTGTTATGTTTGATGTGTTTGTATAAACTGACTGGAGTGTCCCCTCATCTTTCCTTCCTCTGATTCTTGCCCTTATAAATTAGGCTTGTGGCTTACTGAATTTTAGTTTTGTAGGCAAACCTGTGCTCTTTTGCCACATTGCCATGAATACAGCTGTGACAAGGGTTATTAGCTAGGGTGACTCTGCGGGGATCCAAGGAAGGGCACCTCATCTCTTCAAAGCACTTTTAGACAGATGCAGGATGGTACTCAACAATTAAGAAAGAACTGCATACAATCTGTTATAATCCTATATGTGTTAGTTTGAGAATATATCACTTCTAAGGTTAGTCCTTAGGTGTTCTTCATATATGTGTGTTTGTACTTCCCAATCTTCTAAAATGATTCCTGGAAACAACGGTTTTATTTTCCATTTTCTTTGTATCTGTGGGTTTTCCTTTCTCTGGCAGGGCATTATAATAACTATATAGCATGAGCTACTTTTATTTTTATTTGTTTAAGTTACTCAAAAGCCAAGTACTATCTCATGCTGGTGTAACTGTCTTTGATTTCACATTCAGTTTCCAACTATTACTATCAGCAAATATAATTTAACATGCAATTTTATAAGCAAAAATATGTACATATGAATCTATTATGTGACAGTACATTATTGTTCCTATTTAAATGTTTATCCTAGTTGGTTGACTATATATTGACTCATCGTTTTAATTTTTTATTCATAATGTTATAACTATACTTTAAAGAATATTTGTGGGAACATTTTCATGTACTTTTTTTCACCTTTTAGGTGTACAAGAATTTCCAGAAAACATAAAGTGTTGTAAGTGTTTAACAATTATTGAAGCCAGTGTCAATCCCATTTCTAAGTGAGTATAAATAATTAAATTTTATTTATGTTTATGTTTGCATTGGATAATGATGTATGAAGGTAGATGACACTTACATTAAAACTCTATTTTTAAGTGTGGCACTGATATAGCATTTAATAAAATAATGGGAAACGTATAATCAGATCGGAAGAGTTCCACAAAAGATGATTAAAAGCGTTGCTGAGGACCCAGTTGGCACAACTTGGCATGCCTTTGCAGCAGACGGTCACTAGTTTTCTGTACCTCTCAGGCAGTGTTGCACTTCTGAGAGTCAGAACTCAGAAAATATTTAGTCACTATGGGCATGGTGAGAAATTATCATCAAATACCTCATGGAAGTTCCAGACAGTGCAAAATGTTAAGGTCTTGCTAAATGCACTAAAACAGCGGTGCAGTTCAATGAAATTGAGAACGACTAGATAGATATAGGAAGTTCTTGTGTACGAGAGATTGCAACAAAAGCAAAGAGGTAATCTAGTAAGGATTCTAGTTTGGAAGATATGAATGGTAATAATACTATAATCAGAAAAAAGAGGATTTGTGATTCAAGGTCTGTTAGTTAACACATTCCATGGAAAAATGAGGCTAAGCCTGAGAGCATGTTGGTGAGCTGAGAGTATGACATTATGACAGAGGTCTGTGGTTCATATGTGAGCCATGAACCTGAACGTTAAAGTCAAACGGGACTGGCAATTACCTAGTAAGGCTATTGGCACTTACAGTACTATTTGGAAGAAATTCAAACAAATTAGCGGTATTGGGATGCAGATAATGAATTGTTAGTTTAAGTTGGTATTTTCAATATACAAAGCTAATCATAAGCTTTGAACAAAATTCCTCAGTCCTTTGTCCATGTAAAGTTAGGTAGACTAGGGGAAATCCCGCTGGAAAAGCATTTGATGAATGAAGTATTCACAGAAGAAATAAAGGCCTGTCAAAGTAAAGTTGAAGAGATCCGGGGATATAGCTCAGGGGCACAGCCCCTACCTGGCAAGTGCAAGGTCCTGAGTTCAATTTCTGGTACAAGAAAATAAAAAAGTAAAGCTGAAGAGAAATTTTACACCAGTATAGCGGAGGAGAGAGATCCATTATTGACTGTGGATTCTAGCAAGAGACTGTAGTAGAGAACAAGTGTGGAACAGAATGTAGATGAATAAGGTAGAAGTTTTGAAGGAGGTTTTTCAGTGAGTGGTTTGTCTAATAATCTGAGACCTTTTATACAAAGTGTGGAACATCAGGAAATAAAATGTGTTGGAAAGTTATAACTTTTCTAAGTAAAATATACACTATGGAGGGGAAAAAACAAAACCTTGAAAACTTTTCCCAAAACTCTTACAGAACATGCAATTTTCTCAAAATTTCAATGAGATGAGTATTACAAACCTCTCAAGCAAGGACTACAAATATGTATTTGACTTCAGTAATACAATCCAAGGTAGATGATGAATTGGAGTTTTTCATCCTACTTCTTTAATTCTAATAGCTTATCTTATTTAAGAATCATTGTAAGTCTTTAGAGTGGAAGGAAGTTGATGAATTACATTTTTCTAAGAAACTGAAAGTCTATAGCTTTATTTTATGGCTCTGAATTTCTCTCATATGCTTAACTTTTAAGCAAACAGAAAATATTATCTATTTCTTTGAAACATGCTCAACTCTTTGAACATTAAACATTTTTATGGAATTTATAAAATCTACTCAATAGATTAGTAAATTTAAGTAGTATATTAATTTTAAAGACTTTTAAAAGTATGCAAGTAAAATTCACTCACTTTAGACATTCAATTTAAT